GTATTCTGCAGCACCTAAATTTCCATGAGTACGGATACTATTGATATTGTAGACTTACTGCTCTCGTGACTTGAATTTCCTTTATTCATAATTTGAATGCTGTTCCCTTTGTGGACTGTAAGTTTCAAATTTGAGAAGTATTGATATTATTTGTCCTAAATTGATGTAAATTTGGGAAATGTTTATAAACAGTTAAAGAATTATAAATAGATAGATATAAGTGGTGGATAAGTTGATACTACCGATGGGCCTCTCGAAATGCGTTGATAAAAAAAATGATTTGAGTGTTTATAAATATGAGCCAAACATAGGCTTAGATTTGGTTTCTTTTTATTTTTTGATAAAATATATTTTCTTGTTACTCCTAGTTTTCTGGTTTTATCGGGATCTTTAGAAGAAAATTAAGAAATCATGCCTTCTTTATTGCACCCCAAAATGTATTCACTGTTCAATGACTTAGTGTGGGTAAACACTAAGACAAGTGGCCAAATATCAGTTGGTGATATTGAAGGTTTATTTGGATGGGTTTATATCTATAAATTTAGATACACTGTCATGAATCATCAAACAACGGACTCTGGGATGACTATGAAGAGTAGGTTTGATTGAGAGTAAAGGAAAGGAAGTTTTATGGTAATGCTACCGTACTACATCCTATAGGAAACATGTGGCCAAATGCTTTGCCTCATTATGTAAAAATTGATCAAAGTCATTTGGTTTCTTGTAAATGGTGGATTAGAACCATCTGATATAATAAATATTCCTAAGATGCGCTATATGTGTTATGTGTGGGACATATGTATTACATCTTTCCTGGAAGTTATGTGAACTGCTCACTTGAAATAAGGAAATACAACAACTGTTCAGACTTCATCTTAAATGTATGCCTTGATGCTTTTTTGTGGTCCTTCTCTATGATAATACACACACTACTTCTCAAGTAGTTCTCTTGCAGGTACATTTGATGTGGTAGTGGTGAACTTGTATCCATTCTACGACAAGGTGTCCTCTTCAAGCAAAATCTCTTTCGAGGATGGAATTGAGAACATTGATATTGGTGGCCCTGCTATGATTAGAGCTGCTGCCAAGGTTTTTTTACCGTTATCCTAATGAGAAATTTTGAAGGCCATTTAAAATAATGATATAATTTTCTGTGTTGAGAACATACTGATATTATTTTCCCTTAGTTCTTGGGAATTACAGCATCCCTGAGCCTTAAATTCTTGCTTGAAATGTGGTATTATCTGGGTAATACAGTCTTTATTTTTTCTTTGCAATATCACATTCATGCTTGTAATGTGGTATTAGCTGGGTAATAGTGCTTTTTTTTTTCCCGGTAATATCAACCTTGTATAGTATAAAATTTTGATGAAACATGCATCAGTGACAGCATTGTGTGGTGGGCTTAGCACAATCTAGAGTAGTCAACAAATTTTTAAGTTCTATAAGCACGTCATAACTTTTGGTATTTGTTTAGAATGGAGAAAGTACTTTATTTGGACATCTTATGTGCTAAAAGACGACATATGGTTATATGACCGACCTAAATTGCTCAACTTGTGTTCTTAAATAAATCAATCTGTTTTGTAGTCGCACACTTGTTTCATGTCAGATATCAACTAATGCCTACATAGAAAATGAAGTACTTTGCTGGTTCAATAACACCTTAACTGCCTTCCAAATTTCAGTAACTCTGCTCTTTCTCGTATTGGATTCTGAGAAAAAAAATTGTTCTCTTCATGGAACAGAATCACAAAGATGTTTTGGTCGTAGTGGATTCTGAAGACTACCTAGCACTTTTGGAATTTCTTAGAGGAACGCAGGATGACCAGCAGTTTAGAAGGAGGCTAGCTTGGAAGGCTTTTCTGCATGTAGCTTCTTATGATTCTGCAGTTTCAGAATGGTTGTGGAAGCAGAATGGGGAAGGAACTTGTTGCATAGGTTTGACAATTCTTTTTAGAGCCAGAACAAATCTATGTTTTTTGCTAACTTCCAATGCAAATTGACAAGCTTCGAGTACCAAATTGTACTTCTAGTAATAGTGATATTCAATGGCACGAGTCAATCCAAAACTAAATCTAGAAGAATCCCATATATTGGCCAATGCCTGTTGCAATTTGACAAGTTTTTGAGTACCAAATTTTACACGTATGATTCGTTAACAATATTGATTCAAAACTCATTCGTCTAGATAAAATAAACGCTGCATAATTATATTACTTAGTACAAAATTAAATTACAATCTTTGTGGGTTCGACATTCTGAACTCTATTACTATATTACAAAATTTGCCATCGTACACTTGCGATATAAATCACGTTAGAGAAAATGCGTGACAATACGATTCCAAATGCTCTTCCTGCAGCCATTATAATACCATAAAGCTCGACCAGCAAACAAGATTTAGCCTATAAGTACAAAGATGCTGCAAAGACTATATCCCTCTTGATTTTGGTGATGGCCTCTTCAAATTTCGTTTCAAGCTCTGTCTCGCCAATGGATTTTGCTGCTTGTATTAGCTGCTGAAGAACTTCCTCCAGTCTCCGGATTGCCCTGATCAAGCTTCCTTCGAAAACCTGTGTACCTTCCATGATTGTGGAAAATTTGGAGCCTTTGGCCCAGTCGTACACAGCCTGCATGATATCACATCTGAAAGAACTTACGAAATTCTCAACATCAATCTGAACCTGTAAAAATGTGCAGAGACAATGTGAATTAACTTGGGATGTGGTATGACACAACATGCAGCAATATTGAGAAAAATGTCAACATGCAATCTTTAATTTTGAGTAAAATGTCTACCCTGTAAAAGTTTTTGTACATCGCTAGACTACATTTATAATCTAGCATTTTTTTTTCTTTTTTTGATATCATGCGTGAAAAAATTTTGAGGCAAAAGTCATTGTACCCTTCTAATACACACCACCAGTACTGAAACCCAAGTACTGGACATTTTAGCAATCTACTCAGAACCCAAAATAATATTTATAAGCACCTTGCACTCAAGCTGAACTTTAGCAACTCTTCGAGCTATGTCATGAAGTTGAGTAAAAAGTAACT